TATCTAGCTCTCAACCACCGTCTCCGTAACATGCTCATCCTCCACACGCACCGTTCCATAATCCATCCCCTACTGATTCGTTTCCAGAGCCAAAGCAGACTTCATGATAGATACAACCCAGCGCACATCATCAACTGATAGCGCGTGCTTACCATGAAATATGAGATGCTCATAAGAATATTATTCTCTTTAAAACATCAGGCAGTGGATTTGCGTTTTATTTTCCCCTTCTAGTCTACTTCTCTAGCCATTCCGGGAAGTAGACGGACGATTTCCATTCCAGAGCCGAAGGAATCGGCAAGGCGACTAAAAGGGATGATCCAGAGACGAAAACTGTGTAAAAAAAGAGACAGAATCCAACAGCGGGTTCAGTAAGTTGGCTTAACTGGAGGATAACCATTAATTTCAGCTTCTGCAGTTTTCATGAAGAAAACGCTTAAATATCGCAGACGCCTTCGTAGTTAAAAAGCCACATACGTTTACCCCCTCAGGATTTGTGAGAGAATCGCAGTACTAAAAGCTTTATTTCCTGTTATCTGGTTGACAAGCCTGAGGTCTGCTTGCGTTTTTCTTGTCTGGCTACATCCGAGGGAAAATGGACTGTTATGTTTATTATCCTGTGGTGTCCGTTGTTGGCACCATTCCTCACTGTCAGTCTGTCCTCCCCTCCGTCTCCCTCCCTATTTCTAGCGCACGCTTCAGAAAGGAAAAGGTGAAAAGTATCCAAGACAAAGCATGGAGAAAGAAAGGAATGAAAACAACCGTTGCAGTGAAAACAAACAAACAAACCAAAACAAAATACAGCCAAGACTCTCCTACCCAACATGAAAGGAAATAAAAAGATACGTTAAAAATAGTAACTTTCACGTCTCCCACTCCTTCGCTTCGATTTGAACAACATTCGCCTACAGCTACAAATACAAATCGCATTAATAAAGGATAGAAGAACACACACACTCACCCATAGACTGAACAAACAAACACTGTTCACGAGAAAACGAAAGTGAAAAGATGAACATTGAAAAGGAGATGTGTTAGGATTTTCAGTGGGATGGAAACACATTTATTTCCTTTCTGTGAACCATAGTTCATAATGACGAATTAGAATCCTTCCTTGCCCTTTGCTTGTTTTCGTACATTCATGCGCATCCATGACTGTTTATCCAAAGAGCATTTAAATTCTCCGACGGACTGGAGTCGCGACACTAATGTATTTTTCATACGACGCATCAACGACTCTTTGCAGCCCGGAGCGGGCAACTGTTTACCTGTCTTTCTACCCGTCTCAACACATACACACTCACACTTGCTCACACACGCGCACAAACACCAACAACACCCCCCCTCTCTCTCTCACGCGCACAAACACCAACAACACCCCCCCTCTCTCTCTGTCTTTCTCTTTATCTGTCCATGTCTCTGTTTCCCCCCTCTCTCCTTTTCCCTCCCCCATCCCCCATTCCCCCCCTCTCTCTCT